GGGGAATTTTGTGCATTACACGTGTTAAGCCCTGATTTTAATTCACACTACTAAAAATAAGACGCATAAAGCTGCTTTTATTTTTATTTGTTTTGTGGATGCTTGTGTGTGTGCAGGTGTTAGATAGCAGCTTTAACACTTTTTTTTCTCTTTTCTGTATGTATTTTTACTTTTAAAGTTTTGGTCCTTTTAAAATTTGTTGAAGCTAGTAAGTATCCCTAATCCAGTGCAGAAATCTGCTCATAGATGTTATTGATACAAGCTGTGACCCCTCCCTCGTTCATTGCAAACTGACAAACTCACTGATCCTGGCAGCTAGAGTGGCTGTCACAGCCTCAGCCCACACTATCCTACAAACATCTTCATGTCTTCCCGCTGGCCTGGTGTGTGATTGACTGAGGCCATGTGCTCCAGGACCAGATTCCTACTAAATCAGCCCCTGGGCCTTTTGTTGCCCCCATGACTATGCCAGCCACGGAAGTAGTACGCCATTGAATGTATTATTCTCTTAAGTGGCTCTGGGTGGAATGGTTTGTTTTAGAAAGGCTTTGTGCCCAGCATACATAGACTTCCTGGACAAATGAGGGACTCCGACATGACAAAAGGGTCTTTCAGTGTACAGGAGACGGGCTTCTCTGACAAATTGTTGTCTTGTCCTCATTATCAGATGCTTTATGATGTTATTTATAAGAATTAATAAAGATGAAGACTAAAAACGCGAAGTCATATCAAATCTAGTTTAAAAGTGAAATGTGACGTTAAAAGAAGAAGCTAAAATGATTGATGGTTTTGTTACTGTTAACTGTCTACAGCCTTACTGTTGTCTCATGTTTTCGTTGTTATGGCATTCAGCTGCTTCTCCAGAGAGGATCTTTGTTCCCCAGGGTTGATGTACTCCAAAGGCACCTTCTTAGAGTGCGGCAGGAGACTTGTACTCCTTCTGCTGTGGAACAGAACAAGTACCAGTGCAATAACAAGTACTACTGTCAACAACTTCATTACAAGACTGATTCGGTCATAAATAATGACCAGTATGAGGGAGAGGAATCGGTTGAAGAAGACCTCCACAGATTACAAAATTAGCACAATTCTGTCTGCATTGTTTTTGGTTTTTTTTTATAGTGGTTTTGTTGACATGCATGCGTCTTTATTGGTCTTAAAGACATTTATCGGAAGTTATCACAGGTAAATCTTTTTAATTTCGTACATTAAAGTGGGATGGTCCTCTAAGAGGACAGAAGAAAGCAATGTATGGTGTGTATTTACAATGCTTTAGGCAAACGTCAAACCATTGCATCATTATCTCTGATTAAATTCAGTCTCAGGACTTTCTGTTAACACACTGAAAAACTAGATTTAAAAATTACATCCTGATTTTTATATTATATAAGTTTATATTTGAATATCTGCAGCTACTGTTGCTCATGCTTTCCTTAAATTGTGAACGCAGCTGTGCTTCCTGGTCTTTTATACGCAGGTCTCACTGACATAAACCTCACTCTCAGGCTACGTCCACACTAATGTGTTTTCAAATGAAAACGCATCGATTTCTCTCCGTTTTGGCCTCCCGTCCACACTGAGACGGCGTTCTCCCCAAGGAAAAACGCAGCGTTTTGAAAACGCTCTCAAAAACGCATACATTTCAAAACGGAGCTGCCCCGTCGCAGTGTGGCCACTCGAAAACGCAGACTTTCTAAAACGATGATGCATTTTAGTCATTCGATGCAGTCATGTGACCAATTAAACAAAGATAGCGGAGGGCATTATACAGCAGTTGTTTTGATTGCTCTCAATTTTGAGAGCCCTAAATAATAAACATTAATATCAGTTTGTACATGCTCCAGATAGCTTTTCTTCAACTTCTTTAATTCGCACTCGCTTTTGCGCAGGACTGGAACGTAAGCGTTTTGGGCCGTTTCAATGTGGACGCACAACTCTGGGTAAACGACTGAAAACGCTAGTGTGGACGAAAACGCTGTTTTCAAATCTATCCGGGCCAGTGTGGACGTAGCCTCAGTGGGACTCTTTTTAAATAAAGAATTAAATAATCATTAAAGTAATTAGTGGACAAGTAGTAATAAACATCTGAGACAAAACAGTTTCTGGTCTTTTTCCTGACATTGCAGGTTGTGTACTGTGAGATGTCCCAGATACTCATGACTCAGGGTTTTGTTGTGTATCATAACCAATAACAAAATGCTTGTGGTCCGAGATGAGCCGATAATTTGCTCCTGTTGCGATTATCTCAGTCAGGAATAATCTTGCAATCAGTGCTGCTCATCTGATATTACTTATTTGCACACCTCAAAGTCATCATGACAACTGCCTCAGTTTACTAGACTGCACATCGACTCATCAAGGGTTTAATGCCCTAAAATCTCTACTCTCTATTCATTTACCTGCTTTGCTGTATTTCTCCCATGTGTCCTTAAACAGACTGCTCTTTTCAGTCTCTTGGCCCTTTGCCTAAGCAAATGGATTTCTTCTTATAAAATCTGTCACCCTGTCCATTTCAGCCTCCACAACATCTTCTTGCCTGAAGTTAGATTTTTACGTCTGCTTCCTGAATCTTTGTGGCAAAGTAGCTTACCTCAAGATGACTCACAGGTAGCTTTTGCCTCAAACAGCAGGGCCATAAAGCATGCTGCACATCACAAATGATTTGGTTTTTCAGCTTGCAGAAAGTCTGCAAGAATGACTGCTTCCCAGTGTCTTAAAAAGGGTCTCTTAAATAGGAGCCTAACCCACCATTTGATTCAGTTTTCTGTCTCATGGCTTTGTACTCATCTGCCTTGTTACAGGAAATCAATTTAATCGAGGCACGGCAGTTTGGAGTGACCATCAAGCTGACCTTAGCGCGCTGGGCAGACCAAAGCAAATCAATGAACAGCATCCAGCAGCCGTAAATGGCTTTGGCTCTTGTACTTGGCAGAATTTCTGTTTTTCTTCAATCTTGAAATGACAGCCTGGCTGCAGATACAGCTGCTGAGCAGCGACAGTCATGCATCCATTTTATTTTTATATGAATATGATAGTTATCCAGTATGACTGAAATTGTTGCAGGAAGTCAACAGGGGGTAAATTAAACTGCAACCATAACTGGTGATTTCTGAGAAAAACTGTTTGTTTTAGACTGTCAGGAATTTAATTTACTTACTTTTATTTATACAGCACAAAATCACAACAACAGTCACCTCAAAGTGCTTTATATTGTAAGGTAGACCCTACAATACATACAGAGAATAACCCAACAATAATATGACCCCATATGAGCAAGCACTTTGGCAACAGTGGGAAGGAAAAACTCCCTTTTAACAGGAAGAAACCACCAGCAGGACCAGGCTCAGGGTAGGCTTCCCTACCCCTTCAAAGGTCTATTTATTTCTTAAGACTTATTTTTAAGTAGTTTACTCAAAAAAATGTTTGATTCCACCACATTTCAGAAACATTTCGTAACCAGTCCACTCATCCTAGTCCTAGAAGCAATCAAAGCTGCAAGGAAAACGCTGCAGACGAATATTTTATGCATGTGATGGGTATAATCACAGGTTTAAGAGTTAAAGGCTTGCACATCTGCAGGTCGGTCTCAAACACCAACTTACCATGACTTGTGAACAAGACCATGAGACACTTAAGCTCTCCCAACCCAGAGGAATTAATTCAGTGTTTTATTATCTGGAAAATTGTAGTAATATGTCACTTTGTGGCATTTATAGAAACTCTAGTGAAAATGTGGGCTGCTTATCCGAACAGTCAAACTTTAGTCTCAAGAAACCTGTTGTACGATTTCGTAGAATCACCAGTAATTATCAGATTCTGGGCATTTTTGACACTGCCAATCCCGATTGAAGGAAAGACTAGAAAGAATAGACCCAACTAGTCTCATTTTGAATGCTGTTATTTTATTTGCAGTGTCACATTTACACTGAACACAGCTCTAACATAGCAGCTTGTCCTCTTGTCTTTAGCTCCCTGTTTTGTTCTGTTCTGAGCTTGTGGGATGACCTCATCCACTCCTTCCAATCTGATAATGTGTGCTACATTAACACACTGTTGCGACCACATATAAGCAAACACTTTGCTTCAGTCTGTTTATGTTCTCTTTGCCAGACCGGGGCTTGCTGTCTTCTGTTTACTGTCCTCACAAGGACACACAGATGTAACCGTCATTAATCAGATACACTTATGTAGCACTCCCCTCATTAAAACACAACTTCCGATTGTAGTGAGTATGTGGTCTTTTGTCCTGAGGTGACTTTCATAACAAGTGCACCATTGTAGAGCTTTCATTCCTCTCTGTGGTCAGTGGACTTTGATGCCCGCCACTCAGTGACTCAGCAAACCCCTGGTAATCAGACCAAAGGCTGCCCCATCACAGCACACACTGGCACATCTGTCTTTATTGGCACACTGTATCCCTAAACTTCAATTTTCCACTTTCTGTTGGAAATCCACTGTGGTTTAAAAGGAAAATGGCGTGATTTAGTCCGAATTGGATCCAGTTGGAGTTCAGACCATGCAGGCCAAATAAGCTTATCCTTAACCTGTTAGCTGCTGGTTAATCAGCATTTTGGAGTCCTTTTCAGAATACTTCATTATACACAGTCTGTAATTGCTGTTTTACACAAGGGAATCAAGAAATGTCATCCGTTTGGGGAGATTTTGGTTTGTTACCTTCACTTTTCAACCCTTGAAGTTCTTGTTTGGCATGTGCACGTGTCTTTGTTGCCTGGCCACCAGTCTGGATGAACCGTTGATAACCATCCACGAGTGACATGGATGGTTAAAAAAAAAAAAAGAAGTTTAAATGCACTTATCATCATGTTGGAACGTGAGCCATTTTCCATTATGAGACTCAATACAGAATCTTAAGTGAGAAGTTTTTATACATAGAGTGCCTCCGTCTGAAGCCTCATGTTATCCTGTACAATAACTTCCATACAAGAGAAAGTTTCGAAGCAGCTGATGTAAAGATAACTTATCATTCCGTCTTCTTACAGGAGGCTTCTCTGTGGTGTTTCTGGCTCGTACGCACAGCGGTGTACGCTGTGCTCTCAAAAGGATGTACGTCAACAATGTCCCGGACCTGAATGTCTACAAGAGAGAGATCACTATCATGGTGAGAGCAGCATCAGTGTTCCTTCATTTCAACTACACTTAAAGTCTTTGTGCTAATCTTTATTGCTAAAGTGTTTCAGTAACATTGTGGAAATTTAGATAATTACTTTTACTTTATCGTCATATAACAGTGGCGTAAGTTGTGTGCCCATTGTAAGTGCTTTTTCAATAGTTTTACAAAATTTGCTACCGATGTCCGTCATCCTCTCCTACAACTTTGGTGTGATGAGGATGATATGCAGCTCTGTGGGTCATTTATTAGATTTATCATGAGGTTATGCGTCTTGCTCTTGGTCTTCTATTACTGGTATTGTTGCTCCTGCCGCACCTGGTCTATTACTTATTAAACCTTATTCAGGTTTGTATAAATGAGCAGCATCAGCATTTCATAAACGGTAAAAAAGGAAAATGATAAATACATTTGAGGCTTTTGTTTTGAAAGTCTGAACCTTTATGCGTCCAGGTATATTTTCTACAGCTCACGTGCAGTGTTTATTTAGAACCTTTGACACAATTCTGAGAACCCTGTTAACTTCCTGTAACTCATTAGAGGCTTTTATTTTGAAAATGTCATTATAGTGCCAAAAGTTTGTATTGCTGCATTTTTAACCTTTTTCTGGTCTCAGTTTGAGTTTAAAAAATTAGTTTTAATGAATGATTTTTAAAAACTTTTTTTTTTTAAAGAAATACTTCAGTCACAGGCAAGCTGGGTTGCTCACCTGGTTGAGTGGGCAACCCATATGCCAAAAGGCTGCAGGGTCCTGGGTTTGAGTCCACCCATAACCATTTCACATATGCAACTCTCTTCACTCTTTTCCTGCTTTCATGTTATTCTCCTCTGTCCTAATGAAGAACAGCTCACTATGAGCTGTTTAGTCAGCTTTGTGTGTCAATTCTTTTTCATCAACTGGAACAATGTGTCACACACACACAGCTGACCTTAAACTCTGACACAGTTCAGGTCTGTCGGGACACGACTGTAGGTGTGTCGGTTTCCAAGAAATGCTGCAGTTTCTCTCCTCGTGCTGCCCTTTGGGAACCAGCAGATGTGCTCTGATGCATTAATAATACAAGAATAAATAAAGTTAAGATTAAGGCTACGTCCACACGTACACGGATATTTTTGAAAGCGGAGATTTTCCATTTTCGTTTTAAAAAATAATCCCGTCCACACGTGAACGCAAAAATTAAGGAAAACGCTGCTAGGAACATGCCAAAGTAACTGGTGGCGATATATTCCCAACCGTGTAGAAATGTTGGCCAATCAGAAGTCTAGAAGCCTCGGTGGGAAATAGTAAACAAAGCTGGGGCATAGAAGCAGAACAGAGTCGTATGTGTGGAGGGACAGTAACTGTGTGTGTGTATATGTAAGCATTTAAACACTGCAGAGAGTACAAGTACCAGTATTGTAGAAATTCATTTCACCGAAACAATAACGTGGCGCACAGTGTGACGTCAAAAAAGGCGCACACCTTTGATGCTGCGTTTTCTCCGTTTTCCTCGTCCACACGTAAATGCAAAAACGGAGTTTTCGAAAATATCCGTAAATCTCCGTTTTCAGTGACCGAAAACGCAGTTTACGTGAGGATGAAAGGTGCAAACGCATAGAAAAATCTGCGTTTTAAAAAAAATACCCGGGTACGTGTGGACGTAGCCTTACAGAGTTAAGAGATGAGCATGGTGTAAGAGCATGAGTTATCAAGTGAAAAACGAAAACAAACAGAGCTCGCCTCTGAAGCAGCTGAATTGCACTCACACCTGTGTTTTTCTTCCAATCATACTTGGCAAAGCCAGCAGTTACAAATATTTAAGAAAAACATTTTAATAATTCAGAAGATGTTTTAATTCTAGGAGAATTTATTTTATTGTATGGATGAATTTAAAAAAAAAACAAAAAACAATTGCAGTGTGTAAGATTTTATGCAGTGTTTGGCTCATCGGTGACTCATCTCTGATTAACATGACGGGAGTCTTTAAAGCAGTTTGCAGCACATTATTTCAGACTGTGGTTTTCATGCTTCTACATTCAATAGCTGGGTGAACCATAACTGAAGCAATATAGGAGCAACACTACACATGTCTAAACATGAACCAGCACTCACTAAAAAGAAGGAAAAGAAAAGTTTGTGTCCAGTCTAACGATCCTTTTATCACATCAGTTGATTCTTTGTGTTGCTGTTTAGCACGTGTTTGATATTTCTTTTTGTCACGCTCTTCCCCCATTTTCTTCCTCTTTGCAGAAAGAGCTGTCGGGCCATAAGAACATCGTTGGTTACCTGGACTCTACGATCAGTCCTGCGTCAGACAGCGTGTGGGAGGTCCTGATCCTTATGGAGTACTGTAAAGGTACAACCTGTCCCTGTAAATATAAACATGTTCTGACAGGCCTCATAGTTCTGCTTTATGCATGTAGTCGTTTCTATTTTTTAAAAAGCACTTCTGGTTTTTATTTTGGTTTGAGTTCTGTTTTTGTTTAGGTTGGGGGGGAAAAAAAATAAACACAAAAGGACAAGCAATGAATAATCGGCTAACTAGGTGATAATAAGCTGGCTGGCTTACTGTTGGGTTAGTGTGGTAGGACTCCAGTATTGGTTGCCAAAGCAACCAACGTGGTGGGTTTTTTTTCTCTGCAATTTCCCCCCCCCAGAAAGCCTTGTCTTTTCAAACTGTTGCAACATCTCCCTCTATATTTGTTAATCTGTTCTGTACTGATATATCATTAAAACTGTAAAAAATTGAGACTTACTCGACCAGCTGATACAACACAATGGCCCACAGATAGGACGCCACTTTTGTCATATGGCACGGTTTGGCAGAGCAAGAACAACAAGCACAATGGCTCCATTAATCAGCACAAACTTCACCAGTTAAGCAAATTTAGGATAAAGTCCAAGAGGCAGAGGAATAAACGTGTAAGGAAAAAGTAAAAATGTGCAGCATTTTGTTTGCATTCTGCATCGTCTTGCATTGGTACTATTTAAGTTTTTAAAGCTAGATGATTAATTGAGTTTTGGCTTCTGAATGGTTATAAAAACAAAATAACTGAAATAAGACCGTCTCTTCCATTTATTTTTGCTTTGAGACTCTCATTTCTGTTTTCTAACTTTTTAAATATTTGGTTATAAATGAAGTGCTTGCCTTACAGCACTGTGCTTTTAGTACTTATAAAGCTCTGAGTCGTCTTTTTGCCCCCATCTGTTCTCATGGTAAGGCGGGCTTGCGTGATCATTTTGTTACCATTGTGTAAAATTGGCTTCATAGACAAAAGAAACCCGGGAGTCATGATGGCCATTACCGATGTCTACCAGGCAACCCTTTGT